TCGTTATTCGCAACCGACCTCCCCTGGGCATCTTCAGCGTGGTCGTAACCAGTTCCCCTACTCGGTGGGGCCTGCTCTATCTCGATGCGGGGCGCGGACTGAGACGGGCGGTAGGGCGGCTCCCACCACACAGTCTCCACGTTCTCTAACCACCTATCAACGCGTACCCTATTTTCCACTAAATCGTCTTCGTTTAAACTATCCCTATCCGTTTCTTCTTGCAGTTGAGCGACGTCCCTAGCGTATTTCTTCTTGATGAGATCTTCTTCGATTTGCAATTGCTTCCTTCTAATTGCAGCTAGTTTCTCCGCTGTATTATACTCGATTTGTTTTAACTTTGCTATTGCGCTAGCTGTCGACGGGGCTGAACGGACTGAACGGACCGACGGGGCGCGGGGCGCGGGCCTATGTACAAAGCTTGCTACAGGCGTGACGGTACGCACTATCGAACTAGTCTCTGTTACCGTAAGGTCTTCTATAATCGCGGCGAGCGTCTATGTACGCGGCGCGGATGTGCTAACCTCTCCCAAGCGATCGGTTGTGGACACGGACATAGCGGGGCGCGGCGGCGCGAGCGCGGGCGCGGGCATAGATGCGGGCGCGAGCGGGGGCTGGGGCGCGGCGGAGGGCGCTTGTGCCAACGCGAGATAATCGGACGGGGACGCGGGTGCTTCCTCGAATATCCGCATTCCTACCGGCGTTTCGTCGTCATTCCGTGTCTTCTGGCTTCTTGTCTTCCTCATGACGTCACACGTTGCGGCTTCCGTTCATCTCTAAAAAGACGCACGTATTGGACGCCGTTCCCGCCGCAAGGGCGTTACCTGGTGATCGCAGTTTGGCACCGTTAAGGAGCAATCACCTGGCCGCGTAAACGCGGTTAAGAAACAAGAAATTGTCTGGAAACAGACAATAGACGTATATGTAGACGTAGACGTAATAAGAAACGGGGAAGAAATTAGTACACCGACGATCTTCTCTTTGTCGACGAATTTCTTTCTTCCTTGAAGATCTTCTATCATAATCTCCTTTCTTCTATGATTATCTTCTTTCTTCTGTAATTATCTTCTTTCTTCTGGCTTCTATCAGGCTCGAAGGACCAAGAATAATAGGGACAGAAGTGGACTGTATGAATTTACTATGCAAGTGGACTGTATTGACTAACTAACTGGCCGATGTTAAGGTATACTAGGTGTACACTAGGGACTGCTTAAGAAAAAGATGGTACTGTAGACTATAATGTATTAAACTATTTACAAATGCGGCTTTCACTAATTAACTACCTAGTCAGGTCATAAATTCTGTCACATGTTTAATATAAAATAATTGAGACAAGTTTATTCATTATGTAACCATTTATATACCAAAATGAACTTAACAAAACATAGATTCTTATGACACTAAAGTTTGTTCAAAATGACCTCCGTGATTTTGAATACAAGCCTTCAATCTGCGCGGCCAGTCGTCTATCGCAGCACGAAGGAGGTCCATGTCAATATCAGCGGCTACCTTAATCAAGGATGTCTTGAGTGACTCCAAATTGGGATGAGGCTTTGAGCACGCCTTTTGCTCCAAGTGTTGCCATATCTTGTAATCTAACGGATTCAAATCTGGACTGGAGGAGGGCCAGTCTTCGTGCCGGATGAAGTCGATTTCACGCGCCGCCAGCCAGTCTTGTGTGCTCTTCGCTCTATGAGCTGGCGCCGAATCTTGTTGGAATACCCAGTGCCTGTTATTGAACATGGTATGAGAAACAGGTTCCACAAGGTTCGTCAGGACTGTATTTTGATACACAACTGCATTCGTTTTTACACCTTTCTCATAAAAATGTACCTCTGTTAAGCCCCAATAAGAAACTCCCTACCATACCATGAGCGAGGATGGAAAATAACCTCGTTGGACACGTGGTATACGGTTGCTCGCTTCTTCACTACTGTGTGCATACACCTTATCATTTTGTTTGTTGTAGCTTTCTTCTACGGTAAAAATTTTTTCATCCGAAAAAAGAATTTCCCGATATTTTTTTCCCGCGTACCGCTTCAACAAAGCGCGGCATTTCTCCAGTCTCAGGTCCATTAGACGAGCGTTCAAACGATGTCCTGTTTTTCTTCGATATGCCCGAAGCCCTCTGTCTTCATTTAACATCCTTTTCACAGTGGTTCTGCTTAACCCCATCTGAAGGGCCAACAGTTTCTGCTTACGTTTGGGATTTCTTTGAATTCGCACCTTCACAGCTTTTATCACTGCTGGAGTCCTAACAGACCGAGGGCGAACACTTCTTGACCTGTCATCTACACTAAAGTCTTCATTGTATCGTTTGATGGTACGATAAACGAATCTTTTGGTTATATTATATAGTCAAAAATTTGAATTGGCGCGTAACCGCAACGATGCAACGCAATAACTGCAACACGGTCTTCTTTAAGCGTCCACTCCATATTTAAAAATGAGTAAAATTCTAGGTGTCAGACTGGGATGCGTGGCTTCTCCGTGGCTGTTTAACCTATTTATGGACAGTTGTTTGCAAACTTTGAAAGTTGAAGAATGTGGGTTGAGAATGGGTGAGTCAACCGTCAAATGCCTTTTGTACGCCGATGATCAAGTCATATTTGCATCGTCGGCGGCAGAGTTGCAAATGATGATTACTTTAATGAATTGGTCATTGAAAGAAAGGGGTATGAAAGTGAACGCAAGTAAGACGAAAGTGATGGTTTTTGAAAGAGAAGAAAGTAAAACTTTATGTGAAATAAGAATAGAAGGGGAGTTGATTGAGCAAGTGGATGAGTTTGTATATTTGGGATGTTTATTTAGCAGGGATGGTAGATATGATAAGGATATAGAACGACGAGTGAACGCAGGAAATAGAGTGAATGGGGCTCTACACGCTATTATGAGGAGTCAGAATGTGTCAACTAAGGCACGTATGGCAATTCATAATGCTGTGTTAGTCCCTACTTTAATGTATGGTAGTGAAAGTTGGGTCTGGCAGAAGAAGCATGAGAGTAGAATAAATGCTGTAGAAATGCGTTCCTTAAGGAGTATGCTAGGGCTGAATCTGAATGACAGGGTGAGAAATAGTGTGATTAGAGAAAAGTGTGGTTTGCAAGATGACGTTGTGACAAGGATTAAGAAAGGAATGCTTCGGTGGTTTGGTCATGTAGAAAGAATGAACGAGGAAAGAGTGACAAAGCAAATTTATGTTGCAGAAGTGAACGGCAGGGTCGGGAAGGGACGCCCTAGGCGAAGGTTTATCGACCAAATCGGCGACACATTAAAAATGGGCCATATTAGGAGTACCCTTAACCGACGAGCGTGTATGCGTAGATATATGGATGTAAAAGAGGTGAGAGAGGTGTGTCAGGATCGCGCCAAATGGAAGTCCGTAGTCTCTGCCTACCCCTCTGGGTGACAGGCGTGAGTGTTTATGTTATGTTATGTTATGTTAAAATTCTAAAAAGTATACAGTTTTATTTTCATGAACAATTCGAAATTCGAATTCTATAAACTTTTTTGTGGCCAGCATTCTAAAAGAAAAGTTTTTACTGTGTGACAATACTTATGACCTGACTAGGTATATACACAGAGGGGAGTCTTCAATGGAGTATTAATTCTTCTCTCTTGATTTCTCTTGAGATTTCTTCTCTTGCTATTGTCTTCGAGTGCCGCTTCCGAAATCAACAGCTCACAGACCAAAACCCTTCTTATATCCCGAAAGACAGTGTCTCGGTGTATGAGTAGCGTCGTGAGGTGATGCCGCGCGCTGATTGGTCGGCGACATCGCGTGATCTGCTGGCGGTGTGCGGGGTGCGCGGCGCGTAACGGGGTATGAAGGGGCGACGGGGCAGCGCCTCCCCACGCCGTCCGTAACACCTTGCTAGGCTTCATATTAAAAATACTTCTATTTGTAAGTGTGGTTTAGATATTGGTGACCTCAACCATATATTCCTCTCATGTCCTTTATATGATCATACTTCATTATTTAGCACTTTGGTAAAACTTAAAATACCTACCTCCTACTATACCTCTTTTAATTTATTCTAAAAAAGTAAAAATGTTTTCAATTGCCTTATGGAATATTTAGATTTAAATGATATTATGTTATAAAATTTTATTCATTATTTAAAATTTAATAGTCTTTATATAGTTTTATGTAATATTTTAAATGTGGTAATGAATTCAGTTTTATTTTATTTTAATTCTATATAATATTCTTCATTATTTATTGAATAAACTTCAGCACAAGTCATTTCATATTTCATTAGTTCTTAATTTTATTCGGTTTTTAATCAAAATCATAGTTTTCATTTTTATTGTTCGCCGTTTCTTATAAGTATTATTTTTATTGACTGGAGGTTGGCAGTAATTGTAAGGTTGCCATAAACAAAAAAAAATACATCCGTAATTATTCTAATTCGTTAAGAGTTTTGGCGGGAACTTGACCGGCGGCGGTTTGCTGCTCCTGTATTATAGTTTAAATAATAGTTTGAAGTGGATTTTGATATGTAAATGTGGTGCGATTTTATGTATTAACTATCTACGCATGTGAACTATTAGTGGAAACGGTGAAACAAGTGCTCTGATGGCGATGGATTCTCAAGATAAGCTGTTTATCTGCATAAGCGCCTTTAGATACCATCGCCAACTGTCAGCTGTCTGCTGGCTCAAGTTGCTGTCAAAATCTCCCAAGGGCTGCACAATGTGACGCATCAACATATTGTGAAGCAGTGAACTAGGAAGGAATATTCAAAATAAAAAAGTCAAGGCTGTATGGCTTAGTTTCTTTGTCTGCTCTCTCGAGCGAATAATAAAAACAACAACATCTAATTCGTTACATTTTGAAAGTTTGTTTGTGAAGATACCAGTACCAGTACTTTGTAAAAATTTTCAAAATAGTGTTCCTATTTTCCTTAGATTAGTTCAAAAAGTATAATAAATATAGTTTGTTTGTGAACCGTAGGTAGTTGGATTTATTTTTATAAAGTCTTTATATTAAATGTTGAGCAATGGCACCCCGCGAAACTCCAAGGGTGACGCCAAAAGTACAACGCAATATTTCAACAAAAACGAATGCTACTATAACTAAATCATCACCAGTAACTGTTAAAAAAGTTATTAGGACCAGAAATACCACGGATAAAAGCAATATAAAAAGTAAGTGTTTAATTAAAGTCGTGCCGTTTAATTTCTTAAGATTAAATTTGTAATTTAAACCTCGCTTGTATTTTTCAGTGACAAGTACAAAGGTGATTCAATCACCAAAAGCACCAAAGCAAAAAATTAATACTGTTCCAAAAGTAAGCACACCAAAATCTAAAGAGAATAAGCCTACAATTATCGCTGGAAGTGTGACTAAAAGTGCTAAAAAAGCTATGTGGAAGAGGCGTCCCAAACCTGCCCATTCGGGTGTTCCAGTTCCAGAGAAAATGAAAAGGTTGTTAGAGCGGCAATTGCAAGATTCAGATTAAATATGGCACTTGATTATGTATATGACTTGTATTCGTTATACTAAGGTTTTACATTTTTTCCTTTTTTAAGAATGTATCATGTAATCACACTAATTTTAAATAAGAAAGTTAATATTTTTGACTATTCAACCACTATAAGTAGTAGTTGTTAACTTGACTTAAATTTACCGTTTGTATACACTGGGTTTTAGCATGTTTACTGCGTTATATGCGCACCCCTAAATAATTACTAAATTGCCCTTGATAGCTGTTACAATATGTTTGCTTTCTAACTGGTAATTAATTTGATTTAGAATATAAATCTGACAATTACTATGTTTTGGTATTTGTCACTCAATAACACTAAAAGAGCTGAACAAATTTTTTACGAAAAATTTGTAGAGGTTGGTTTAGTCATGCAATAGAATGTAGGTAAGTCAGTCAAAAGTTGGGGAATGGTTTTGCTGTTTCATAAGGGAAATGAGGAATACAGGAGTATTACTGTTACCATTACACCCTATAAGACTACTGAATATAATAGGCCTTCCCTATAGATTCATTTTCTTTTGGGGCTTATTTCCCATAGTTGCTATGCCTCGTAGGTGGGTTGGCAATCGCAGTATCTTATTTTTTTGTTATTAGGAAGATGCTGTTGCCCATCGCCTGGTTTTTTCCCTGTCACCTTTTACGACACCACAGACCAATATGAAGTAGTAAATATTCTTACACAGCCACTATGTAGGCAAGGAGTATAATAGAACATTTATACTGGCAACAAGACATTAGTTATCAGGGATGACAACTGATAATGCATCCATATTTTTTTCTTTATTGTAAGTAGTGGATGTAGATGTCACAGCATCAACTTTCAATTGGACTGTGGGCTGGCTTGTCACTACACTGCTAATTTAGGTAATATTATTAATGCCAAAACTTAAAAATTTTAAAGTTTGATTTTTAACAACAAAAATTGGAGGCAGGTATTAAGTTTCATATTATATAAATTTGCCGATTTACATAGCACATATGTTTATACATTTTAGTCTTTTCTTTACGTTGTTTCACGTCAATGCCAAGATAAGGTTAAGATACTGTGTTTTTTAAAAGTTGGCTGTGGCAGAATACCAGCGGTGACCTCAAATCACCACATAGCTGAGTCACAGGCCAGTTTGTCTCTTTTTTTTAATGTATGTTTTCACTTAAGTATGTTGCTAGATAAGTTTGTGATATTTTTTTTTTTTTGTACAATTTTAACTATCATGTGTGAATTGAGACAAATAAAACTCTTTATTATTTACCGAACTTCATTTATTAATATAAAATAACTGAGGTTTTCAACTCTGTATAAACAAAAGTTATTCTGATTGTATGAAGTGATTGTCACAAGCTGCATATTATCCTAGCAACATCACCTTTTTTGTTTTCTTTTTGATTTAAGGCAATTGTCTTTATTTGGAAATCAAAATGATTGACTAAAAAGTGTATCTTATACTAATGGAAACATTTTCATTAAAAATAAAATATATTATTGTAAAGCATGCATGTATTAAGTATGGTAGAGGTATGCTGCAGTAGTACTATTTCTGCAGTACAAATGGTTCACTCTACCGAGGAAGGACCATGCTTGTACAGTGCTGGCATGACATAGCACCATACTGCTGCTGTGTTTTGTGTGAATCTAATGAGAACTGGCGACCCACTTTTACTGGTAACAAGCGATTCCATTTTAGTCTTGTGTGCTTGTTTGTCACTCTTCAAATCCCATTCTTTATATATTCTGCATATGAGATAGTGGCATGGCTGTTTTTATAAAAAAATACAATTTACACTTAGCTGTTTAGACTTACCACAGGCAGCACTAATGTGATTAAATTCTGTGAAATTAAATTCATTTTTCTCAAAAATAAAGTTTAATGCTACCTACAGACAAAATATAATTATGAAACACATCCTCTTTTCTACAAACCACCATAAGCACCACATATTTTTTTTGTAAACCAGATTAAGCTATTTTTGTATCTTGGATTGTTTAACAGTACTAATTATTAAAATAAAATTAATGAAAGAACATTTAGTTAAGTGAGGTCATAAAAAAGCAAACATGTTTATGATTAGTGAGGTCATAAAAAAGCAAACATGTTTATGATTGTATAAAACTACTTTTACGGATTTTTTTTATCGCGTTTAATTAAGTTATTTTATATTCCCGACGTTTCGGTTGCTTTCCAGCAACCGTGGTCACGGGGGACTGAGGTGATTGACATTCCGATGTCAAAGTGAACCCGGAGTACCTTCAGCTTTTTAATTATTAATTAATTAACTATTAATGTTTATGATTTATAATAATGTTGATATTTTAGAAAAAAATAAGACTTCCTCATATTACCTATTAGCTATAGTTAGCATAATCCTGGTTCATACCTTGCCATTTCAAACATTGTAGGTAGATTAAAATATTAAAAAAGTTACACAATGACTTAGGCTTTAATTAATTATATTACCGGTCAGGCAGTATACATTATGTTTATCACATTATTCATTTACGAAAGTTTATTGTAATAAAAATGTACCTACATAAGTTGTACAATATACAGATGAACATTACTTATTTGTATTGGGATAAAATAAAATTATTGGTGTCATATTAATTTATATGTTACTGTAAAAGCCCGAATTTTGGTGAATCTTAGGTTTTACTTTTAAATCCTAGGATTTATCAACATGAGCTGGTAAATGTAAGGATTGATATAAAATGCGACGATTTTTCGCGCTTTTACTGTTAGAGTTTGGTACATCCTAGGTTTAAACAAAGACTACCAGTAAGTGTTGGTTTTGGAAATGAAACAATATATTTATATAAGTAGAAAGTATTTATTAAACTGAATCGTATTACCTACATAATTTTAAAACATTTTTATGGTGATTTCTGAAAGCAGAATATAGAAAAATAAAGAGATGATGTATCGATTCACAACAAATCGATTTCTAAAATATAGATATTTTTTCACAGACTGGCTCATTGAATATTCTTGGTGAAGAAAAATAAAAATAGCACAAAGATGTTTTCGAAGAATTAATTAAAGCAATACAATATGTGTATAAAATTGATTAATAAATTATGTCAAAGAACAGAATTGATTGACCCCGACTCCACCTGGTACGAGTCTGTCCTACCCCTAGAGTGTTTTATAGAGCCGGAGGCGCGTAGGGGGAGCAGCCTCCACCTTCTCGTCCGATGCCTACGATTTGTTACGCAAAGGCGTAGAGGCTGCTTTTCCCGCAGCGCCGGAGACGTTGCAGTCTCAAAATAAAAACAGAGGGTGACACAGGTAGCGGCGAGGGCTGCACACTGTCCGCAAGCACGATAAAGCGCCGAACACGTCTAGACATAACTATTTTTCAACATTTACCGTGTCTTAGCGGTAAAACCTAAGATTTACTGAGTGAATGCTTGTAAAAGTCCGAAATAAACGATTACCATAGAACACTTCGAACTTTTACCTTATGGACTTGGTAAATCTTAGGTTTCACTGCAAAATCTTAGAATTTACCGTAGTTCTAGCTTTTACAGTAACATATACAGAATTCAATTAATTTTTCTGTATTTTATAGCTAGAAATGTATGTATATGTGGATTAGATTACAATATCAAACCTTGTGAATTATCTATTATCTCTATTTTTATAATAATTGTGTTAGTAATATTTGATATTTTCTATCTATTGTTTAGACATGCTATGATTATATGCAATAAATATTTTAAGTCAATTCATTTAAATGCTTTTTAATTAACTTTCAAAAATGATCTTTTCAGAGAAGTTGTTTGTCAGAGAATATTGTGATCATTGTCTAGGATTACGGTTTAATACAGTAGATTTTTATTTACTGTAATAATCATATTGTGTGGTGGCAAGTTCAGAAAACTCAACATAGGTTTTCTTTTAATAAAATTGCAGTGACATACGAACTTACAGTCCACCAGATAGTCAGTGGTACTGCAGTCCATGGACACCTGCAGCCACATTCATGTTTATTATAGTAGCTATCTATACCCTTCAGAGTGCAACCACTGCTATTTAGCGGCAGAAATAGACTTACCAAAAAAAGTTTGTGATCACTAGCAAAAGCTGATATATTATTAAAATTTATCTTTATCAAGAAAAAGTGTTTACGTTATATCTTTTTTAAATAGAAATACACTGTTCGAAATTAAAAAATAAAACTTATTTTTTAATAAAAATTGAATTCCGTATGTGTGTGGCCGACCTAAGAAAGGTAAATTGTCTCCGAATCAAAATTTATTATTATTATTTAAATTTTACTCTTTACATTCATACATAATTAACATTATTAAGTTTTAAAATAATGATGGGTTCATGGTCTTCTATCAATTTACGGCATAATGTTTATTTGAGATATTTTATTCATATCATTGGTCCTATTTAATATTGATTGGCACCATAAAATAGATGTAGGTATTATTTTACGTTCGATTAGACTTCAAAATTTCATAAATGCAGTTCTATAATGATGTATACAGTATACATCGTTATAGAACTGCATAGTACACATGGAAAACTAATGTTACGGATTTCGTCACGCTTAATTTAACTTTTTTTACGTTGGGTTTTTTTACGCATCGTTGAATGAAATTTCCATAAAAACCATATCGAAATTGAGGCTATCGAAATTAAAAAAAAAACATCCTAATTTTAATAGGGAAGATGGCTGAGTACTACTTTCTGCTAAGGACCCTATAATTAATAAAATTAATTTCAAACCCAAGCATACTACTGCATTTTTTATAGGATAGGGTGACAAACGAACACAGTCCACCTGATGGTAAGTGGTTGCTGTGGCCCATAGACATCTACATCTATCCTCGTTTGCAAATCAAAACGCAGATGCGTTGTCACCCGTGAGAACTAAGATGGAATGCCTCTTTTCCAGTAAAAAGGGTCTCCAGATCTCTACACTCACCATACGAAACACAGCAGAGTTAAGCTGGCATTTTACGCTGG